ATAAGAATCAGTGGTGACGATCATGTCTGAATATGAGCCGATATTTATTTCTGTGCTTCACCATAAACTATTTAAATGATTGCAGAATAAACTGTGTTTATCAGGCAGGGAAGGCCAGGCCAGCTGCTGCAGCAGCTCCTGTTTCCTGGGGAAAGATTACAGCGACACTCCAAACACATTTCCTCTCTGGGCATCGGACCGGGCTAATCTCTGGGCTCCGAGTTTCCTGAGGGGTGAAGAAAGGTCATCTGAGCTCAGAGAAGGAAAATATGATTTAATGACTGGGAACACACGCAGTGGTGTTTCCATCACCTCAGAGGACATCACACTGAGATTTATTTCCTTCAGGCTTAACCTTAAACTAACCTTAATCTCACTTTAAAATAACATTAATCCCAGGAGACACAGAACAATTTATCTGCCTTACAGAGGCTGCTGTGGTTTCAGACATGCAGAGTCGTGTTTCAATCATTTCCAGCAGGAAGATATTAAAGAAAACTTATTTTCATTAGACTTAACTTAATGTCAGTTTAAACCTCAATATAACTTAATATAAAATATCTTTATTTGTGCAGAGTCAGAACCTTACATTGAGTTTTTTTCTGAATACTTTTTAATTTTACTCTTTTTAAACAAATATCTGTACTTTCTACTCCTTAAATTCCCAAAGCAAACTAATTACTTTTGCTATAACAAGTTTGAGGGGAGTTATTATGTCATCACTCACATCAGTCCCTCACGTCAAACACATGAAAGGAAATCCTGTTCACTTATTAATCTCCAGGAGATGTGGCATAAAAAAAGACGACTATGCCAAAGTCACAGGTTAAAGTGGGACAGTGTTATTTGTGTGTGGGGTAGGGGTGGGGTTTAGCACAACCACTGCAGGTGTCCATAAGCTGTGTGTTTGTGGTACTTCAGCATCTAGCTACAGAAGAGGAGCACGCATGAAGGGAGTAACGTTTTATTAAAGTCTCAGGTAATTTGAAATGCAGCATTTCTACCAGCTCAACAAACATGTGCGAACACACCAACTCTTTGTGTGCAGTTTGTCTCGCAGTGTGTTGCTAGCTAAAGGTCCAGCTTCTGTATTTCACAGGGAGAGAAAAGAAAGAGGGCTAACTACACTCAGAGATAGAGAAAGATAAGAAAGAGGACAGGAAAGGAAGAAGAGAGCTTAGATTTAAAAGGACTGCTCATTTAAAGCTTACATGTAAGTCTTCGTTTTTTTAAATCAGATATTAGGTCTGTACATGTGAAATTATGTTTTTTCATATTGTGAAACATGCTGCTAAACAAACTGAGACAGACAAACTGTGTTATTTGAAGTCTGCATGAAAATCCTCTGCAGGTTAGTGCAGGATAAACAGGTTAGTTTTCTGCACTGTGATGGATTTAAAGTAGGGGTGGGAATTTAGCACGTTAATTGCTATTCTTTTTTTTTTTTTTTTTGAACAAATAACACATTCAAAAAAAATAATGCATTTAATTGCAATTTGCATTCCAAGCAAAGGGGAACTTTGGTCAATGCACAATTTCCTGGTACACTGAATACACTGAGGCACACATCAGAGCGACTGTGCTTGACCCACACTTTAAGGATTTAAAGTGTCTTGCAAGGGGAGAGCGAGAAGAGGTTTGGACCAGCCTTGAGGCCCTGCTGCAGGAACAGTGTAAAGATGCCACCACAAAGGAGCCAGCAAAGACAAAGAGCCTCCTCTTTTCTTCGTTGTCTTCAGACTCTGATTCAGATGAGGAAGCCCTGTGTAACAGGGCCCTGAGTTTGTACAGAGCAGAATCCACCATCAGCGCTGCAGTGGTGGTCCAGACGAGCAGGGACCCACCCACAGCTGTCTGTCCTGGCCTGCAAGTATTTGATTAGTCCTGCCACTTCTGTCAGATGTGAGAGACTGTTCTCAGTTGCAGGTCACAGTAACAAAAAAGAAAGTTGCCTTGAGCTCAGAAAATGTGAACAGACTAGTTTGTCTAAGTAACTGGCTGAAAGAGACGGACAGTAAATAACCATGGAGGTATTGTGAGTCCAATGGGTTTGTTATTTTTTGCACTAAAATGTTCAATGTCACACTGTTTTAACCTAATGTACAAAATAAGGTTACTTAGAGTTTAAAGGTGAAGCTGTTGAAATAACCTTTTATGTTTCTGCCTTATTTTTTTTAAGAAGAAAACCTGCACTTTTTGTTGAAACTTTTATTATTATTATTATTGTAAGACAATACAATTTTGAAAATGTACTTAAAATGGCACTTTATTTTTAAGTCTGCCCAATTTTGACCAGAGATGTTAGGTTTCTCTGTTTTGGATTGAGTTTAAATCCTTTTTTTTCTTCCAGAAATTAAAAGAGGTTGAGTTACAATACATGTCCATGTCTATTATTTGATTCTGTCACCCACTAAAACCCTTTTCAATTTAAAAAAAAAAAAAAAAAGCACTCTTGGACAAATTTTCTTGTGTGATTAAATGTGATTAATTAATTATAAAGTCGCTAATTAATTAGATTTAATTTTTTTATTTGAGTCCCACCAAACGACAGTGTGTGACTGGTGCACAGTGGCTGTGGTTTCATGGTCAGAGTAACTTTACATCAAGTGTAGCAGAGACTCATTCACTGAATTCCACCTTCATACCAACTTCAGCAA